AAATATTCACCTCAACAAGGGGATGTGCAGAATCCATGTTGCCCATGTGTCAGCTCAAGGTCAAGGTCACAATTGAAGGTCAAATATCAATTAATTTAGTATTACACAGTATGTCATGTCCGCTCTGTAAGTCCTACACTAATTGAAAGATTTTCTTCAATCTTGGCTCAAATGTTCATCTCAACCAGGGGATGTGCAGAACTTATGTCACTCTTTTGCTGGCTTAAGGTCAAGGTCACACTTAAAGGTCAAAAATTGACTTAGACAATATTCTTTAATTTAAACATTTATTTGAATATTTTTAAATCTAGAAAAGGTATTTGCTTGAAACTTAAAATATTTTTGAAGGGTCACAATTCCGATATGCTGTTCGTTCAAATTTCATAACTCTGTATTGCATTTTACCAAAGTTATGCCCCTTTTTAAATCTTCAAATTAACATATAATCAAATATTAGACAACATGTTATGTCCGCTCTATACATCCTATATTAATGGAAGAATTTTCTTCAACTTTTACTCAAATTTTCACCTCAACAAGGTTATGTGCAGAATCCATGTCACCTTTGTGCCGGCTAAAGGTCAAGGTCACACTTGAAAGTAAAAAATTGACTTAGAAAATGTTCTTAAATTTTAACATGTACGTGAATAATTCTGAAACTAGCGCAGGCATTTGCTTGAAACTTAAAAGATATATGAGGTGTGGCAAATAAGATATGCAGGTCAAGTTTCATTACTCTGAATTGCATTTTGACAAAGTTATGCCCCTTTTTAAGTCTTCAAATTTACATACAACCAATACTAGACAATACATGTATATTGTGTCTACTCTATAAATTCTATACTAATGGAAGGATTTTCTTCAAACTTTACTCAAATGTTCAACCAAACTGGGTGAAGTGCAAAATCCATCTTACCCTTGTGCCAGATTAAGGTCAAGGCCACACTTAAAGGTCAAAAATTGACTTATAGATAAAATGTTTAATACATTGGGAAAATGAAAGGTTATTTGTAACTGTTTCGAACATGATTTGATAATATTAGTCTTTTTTTCACCAGAGATAATTTCTTTTTATGTATTTGTGCCACATAAGTTATTCCCTTAACCACCTTTCCAAGTGGTCTTCTGTCAAGGACATTGGTGGGGGTATGAATCGCATTCAGCAATAGTTCTAGTTGAAGATTACTGACCGAGTTACACGCGGTTTTACACAGATTAAGTAACATAAAACACACTTTGATCAGTAGAGGTTGTCATTTAGACCAAATGGACAAAGTTGAAATTAGAGCCGTCATTAAGTACTTAAGTCTGTAAAAAGGGATGTTTCCCATCGAAATCCATGAAGATTTCGTGGATAATCTTGGGTAGGAGTCCCCTACCTATAGATTGTGACAAAACTGGCTGCGGAATTTATGAGAGGCAGGGAGGGCATTGGAGATGATGAGCTGCCTTGGCGGCTAAAATAGGCACCCAACGATGAAACTGCCGAAGCTGTGCACCATCTGGTCATGTGCGATAGAAGTCGAGACCTGCGAAGCATTGCTAGGGAAGTGGGTATAAGCTATGTTTCACTTCAGCAATTCTGACTGATGTCTTTGGCATGTCAAAGGTTTCCGTTCTGTAGGTCCCCTAGACCAGAAACTGACCAGGATTGACATTTTAAGATATCTTTTCTCTCACTTTGCAGATGAACCTGGTTTTATCTACCGGATCGTAACTCAGGATGAAACATGGGTCGACCATCCAAACAAGAAACATGGCAATGTCATGAAACCAGGTTTTCAATTACCACCATTGTAGATAAATATGTTGTAGTTAAAATACAAATACAAGCAACAAACAATGTAACTTTGTGCAATGTAAATCATGAATATAAATTTTCTGTTTTTAGTAACTGTTACCTTGACCCTAGGAGACCAAAAAGCCATCCCAGGTGAGGTCATCATAAAACCTTGCTTTACCACAAATTTTATAAAAATATCTTATTCCAAACTGTTTATTGACCAGAAACCTATTGTCTTTTTTTAGTAACAGTGACCTGACTGGAAACAGATTTTCTATTTTTAGCAACAATGACCTTGACCTTGACTCTACTTGACCCAAAAGCAGGCAGATGAGCTGGCAGGCATGCAAAGACCTAGATAGTTTCTGTTTTATAACTAAATAAAGTTTGTTGTGATTAATTGGATATATTACAAAAACAATTACATTTTATGGAAAAACAAAAGGCCATAATAAGATAAAAGGTAAAAACTTATCCAATAATAAAACCCTGACAATACACATCAGGGCACTTGAAGATAAAGCTAATCTCTGAAATATTGAACAAAATCCTTTGAGAAATGTAGAAGCAGTTGGGCAACAGAAGAAATTGTTCACTATATACTCTATATAAGGGAAAAACCAAAGGGCCATAATAAGATCCAAAATTATCCAATCACAAAAACCCAACAATATGCATCAGGGCACTAGATGACAAAGCTTCTGTGAAAGTTTGAACAAAATCTCTTGAGAAATTTATTATGTAGGAGGAGTTGCGCACAGAAGAAATTGTTCACTATATATTCTGTATCAGGAATAAAAAACTAAGGGCGTAAATTAGGTCAAAAATTATCCAATCACAAAACCCCAACAGTATGCATCAGGCAACTTTATGACAAAGCTTCTGTGAAAGTTTGAACAAAATCCCTTGAGAAATTTATTATGTAGGAGGAGTTGCGCACAGAAGAAATTGTTCACTATATATTCTGTATCAGGAATAAAAAACTAAGCGCGGAAATTAGGGTCAAAAATTATCCAATCACAAAACCCCAACAGTATGCATCAGGCAACTTTATGACAAAGCTTCTGTGAAAGTTTGAACAATATCCCTTGAGAAATGTAGGAGTTGCGCACAGAAGAAATTGTTCACTATATATTCTGTATAAGGAAAAAAAAGAAAGGGCCATAAATAGGTCAAAAATTATCTAATCACAAAACCCCAATAGTATGCATCAGGACACTTGATGACAAAGCTACTGTGAAAGTTTGAACAAAATCCCTTGAGAAATTTATTATGTAGGAGGAGTTGCGCACAGAAGAAATTGTTCACTATATATTCTGTATCAGGAATAAAAAACTAAGCGCGGAAATTAGGTCAAAAATTATCCAATCACAAAACCCCAACAGTATGCATCAGGCAACTTTATGACAAAGCTACTGTGAAAGTTTGAACAAAATCCCTTGAGAAATTTATTTTGTAGGAGGAGTTGCGCACAGAAGAAATTGTTCACTATATATTCTGTATCAGGAATAAAAAACTAAGCGCGGAAATTAGGTCAAAAATTATCCAATCACGAAACCCCAACAGTATGCATCAGGCAACTTTATGACAAAGCTTCTGTGAAAGTTTGAACAATATCCCTTGAGAAATGTAGGAGTTGCGCACAGAAGAAATTGTTCACTATATATTCTGTATAAGGAAAAAAAAGAAAGGGCCATAAATAGGTCAAAAATTATCCAATCACAAAACCCCAATAGTATGCATCAGGACACTTGATGACAAAGCTTCTGTGAAAGTTTGAACAAAATCCGTTGACAAATGTAGGAGAAGTTGTGCACAGAAGAAATTGTTCACTATGTATTCTGTATAAGGAAAAAAAACAAAGGTCCGTAATTAAGTCGATTATTATCCAATCACAAAACCCTGACAATATGCACCAGGGCACTTGATGACAAAGCTTCTATGAAAGTTTGGTCAAAATCCGTTGAGAAATGTAGGAGGAGTTGCGCACAGAAGAAATTGTTTACGCCCGCCCGCCCGCCGACATACCTCAATCTAATAACCAGATTTTTCCTTCTGAAAACCTGGTTAAAAACAGAACATGCAGTGGAAGCACCCTGGCTCACCCCTCCGAAGAAATTCAAGAGAGTGCCATCAGCTGGGAAGATGATTGCTTCAAGTTTTTGGGATAGTCAGAGAATAATCATGATTGACTATCTTGAGCAAGGTCGTACCATAAACGGTACAAACTATGCATACGAATTGAGACGTCTACGTCAAGAAATCGCGCGCAAACTGACTCAATGCGTTGTGTTCCTGCTCGACAATGCGCCAGCTCACACATCACAAGTTGCGATGGCTGCTGCAACTGATTGCAGCTTTGAAATAAGTCTCCTCATATTCTCCTGACATGGTCCACTCTGGCTTCTAGTTCTTTCCGAAACTGAAAACCAAGCTTCGTGGTAGACATTTTGGAAGCAATGAAGGTGTCATGGAGGCGGTCAATGAGTTCTTTGAGGACCAAAATAGAGTTATATTTTGAAGGGTTTAACATGTTGGAGCACAGGTGGGCAAAGTGCATTGATGTAATAGGTGATATATTGAAAAGTAAGAACAGAAGTTGGGTTCTCTGACTACCGAAGTATATCGGTTTGAGAACTTTTTTTATCAATCATCGTACTTTGGCACTTTCAGTGCTACATTAGACAGTTAACTTATTGTTATCATCAAAAACACTATAATGATTATTAGTTTTGACGATCCCCTATGGAGATCTTCAGCACACATGGAACTTTTTTGGTTTTAAATTTATAAGGGACTGTCGGTGCCAATAAACATGTGTTGAAATACTCTGGCTGGCATGCCATTACAAATATTAAAATCTGAACAATATTAAAGCATTTTTCTCGATATTTTTTATCGTGGTTTAATGACATAATGACATTATAACATTAAATTAATTAAGAATTAAATGGCAATAACTAGAAATTGTTCAATGTTTTGTGTTTTACTGACATGAATGTACCGGTATTGTTAATGATATTATTTTTGCGATATGACTATTTAATTAACCATATATTTTAAAACAAGACAAAATTAAAGTCATAATTAACATTTATCATAATTAAAAATCTAGCATGAACTATAGTTTCATACTTAACAATATAGTTTTATCTAGATTGCTATGTTGAAAATGGCACATACTACTGTCAAACAGTAAAGTTATTTACGTGTATATATGGAAATAAGAAAATTCACGGGACAAGCTAAGAACTGCTTGAGCTCGAGCCGAATTCAACTCACTATTATTGGTGTTACGTATTTCTTCTTCAGAACGGGGGTCAGCATGTTTGACACTATCGTAGGACCATACCTTCTCCGTGCCGTATGTGAAAAGAGATTTCTGAATAACATAACAATTTGTGGCAACATTGAGCAACTTCCGGTAATTGAAAGCGAGGTTAGAAAAGAAGCTGGAATTTATTTCATAATATATCGTTTATTTGTGAGTGTTCCTGTCATTTTCTCCGGATTATTTTTTGGAGCATGGAGTGATAAGAGAGGTCGAAAAATACCAATGTTAGTCCCGTGTGTTGGAATTATATTTTCAGCAATAATTTATATATGTAGTATGTACACGGGTTCTCTAGCTGTATGGATTGCCCTTCTTGGAACCTTACCACAATCAGTTTTCGGAAACACCGCTGTTGCTGCAATGTCTGTAAATTCGTATGTGGCAACAGTTTCGGATCGAAACCATAGGACAAAGTACATTTCTTTATTTGACGGTATAAGTGCTGTAGGACAAGCTTTCGGTGCCGTACTAGCAGGACTTCTGAAGTGGGAGTTGTTGATTTCTTTCAGTGTTGTTGTGGGTATACAGTGTTTGACAGCTCTATCAATAGCGGTGTTTGTACAAGAAATTGATTCTACAATGAAGAATGAGTATATAGAACATATTGAACTAGAGACTGGCAACAGTAACTGCTCTAAGATTTTGAATGGTATAAAAACGTATACAGATTTGTTGAAAGAAAGTGGCACAAATTCGTTTCGGTCCATTGTCATGGCTTACTTGATCCTGACATTTATTTACGGCTGTGACACTAATGGCGTAGATGATGTATTTCTTATGTATGTAACAGCTCGACCGTTCAGCTGGACAAAGTCATGGTACTCGTATTATCTAGCCATCAGATGTATTACTTACGGTTTCAGTCTTTTAGTGCTTTTACCGTTCATGTTACATGTTTTTAAAATGTCCGACTCGACTGTCATAATTCTAGGATTACTCTGCAACGTATCTCGGTATTTTGGAGTTGGACTTAGTAACACGTCCTGGATGATTTATGCACTGTTGATCGTATGGACCACAGCATTGTTAGCCCGACCATGCATATGGTCAATCTTAAGCAAAACTGTCAACGAACATGAGCTTGGTAAAATGTTTATTAATTTCGCCATTATTGACACGCTGTCAAAATGCATTGGCTCTGCAGTTTTTGTCTATTTGTACAGTTCAACTGTTAATATATGCCCGGGTTTGGTTTTCTACGTAATGGGAGGCATAAATGTTCTTATTTTAGCCGCACGTATCTCAAGTAAGTGTTTTAGGAAAGATGAAAAACTTTCAATAACGAGGATTGTCACTCAGTCTTGCGAATGCAGACGACCTGAAACGGATGTACCAGCACAAAATCAAAGCAGCAACGAGCTGTCATCGACCGCTTTAAAAGAAATTGAACTAACATCAAAACACATACAAAATGCAATATCCAGTGGTAATTCAAACACAAAATCATTCAAATATTGCTCTACTGAGAAAGTCCATTTAAATGAAACATCAAGCTTCAAAAAACATAAATATTCCTCGGATTGGCCAAAATCTTGAAATGTTACAAATTAAATATGATTATGTATAAATAGTGTTCTGGGTATGTCATAATATTATTTCAATTTATGCATTAAATTATTTACATCTCTTTTGAAAAGTTTACACTTCTTAAATTCTTTTTTCTTCATTTTTCACATATTTTATGTTGTTATATTTTTCGGGTCATTTCGGTTATTTTCGTACTTTGCAAGATTTTATCTGCAATCAAACTTGTCCAAGACAATGTTTCCAAATACATACAGGCCATATTTCGTTAAATCCTAAAAATTATTTACATATTATCAACACTATATATCAACTACATGTATATATTTAAAAACAACAACAGTTCATATGTCATTTACAATGCTGGTTTAACTTAAATCCCAGCCAAATTGAAGATTTATTTGATATGCTCATGTAATCAGGTGATCTTTGCTGTCTTTCAGGTTGATAGAACTATTCTGTATATTCAAGCAGGCAATATCCTTGCTTTAATCGTATTAAATGATATGTTGATAAAATATTTGCTGATGTTGTGGATTGATCTTTTTTTTAACAGATCTGTTGATTATACATAATGATATAAATGTGAACAATTATATTTTTATGAATGTTGGAATAAATACAGGTAAAATGGAAGGAAATATATGACATACTGAATGCATGATTGTGTTTGAAAGTTTCTGTGAATGATATGATATGAAATAATAAAATGTGAATAAATTACATCTTTTCTTCTTCAAATTTCTTCCACATGTAATGAAATTACGATAATCTATACTAAAACTGATGTAAATGTAAACAATTCTCAGAAATTGTTAACTACATGAAGAAAAGCACAAAGCAATTTTCCAGGAAGTGTAAAGGAATTTATGGATTTTCATGTTTATTGCTTGTCTTTTCTAACCAAGTCGTATCTAAGAGTAATACTTGTATAAGTTATTAAACAGGGATGAAATAATGAGTAGATGATCTATGTAATTATTGGTTAATTGTATAGTCTGACCATGGCTGCTGAATGGACTATTCTTATATATTATGGCAGGACAGGGTTGTTAAAAAATGCACCAGTTACTACTTACTGCGACCAGGCTCTTTTTCTATTTGAAAGACCCTGCTGCGACAAACTTTCTTTTACAGTCGCCCCGGAAAGCCTTATGTGCATGCACACAGAAAACTGATACAAAACAGTCGATAACCACATATTGAGTTTTCATTAGATTCATATAAAACATGGTTATTTCTAGTGATACACCAATTGCATTATAAAATTGCCACAATGGTAATGTGAAAAGTATTTTCAAAATGAGTCCCCATAAACGAAAATGTCTGTTTGTCTTTCTGGCCACAATGTTTGAATAAAACACAATGTAACTTCAAATAAAAACATGATACTGGCTAGCAAGTTTACATTGCCTAGAAAATACAGACTTCAAAGCAGCCTCGATTATATCAATAGTCAAGTTAAATATCTCTGATGAAAAACATTTCAAATTATTGCCTTTTTCATGAGAACATATTTTCTCCTGGTAAATGTTTGTCTAAAATTAATAATCGTGACATTAACCAAAGACGTCAAATTTTCGTTTGGTGCACACAGCAGACAGCATAATAAAATTTTGGAGGACATTTCAGTACATGTATGTTGTAGTAATATGTTATCTAAGGTTCCGGTTGCAGTTTAATATGTATATGCATTAAAAATGCATGAAATGTATCTGCTCTTTCAAATTTATCTCGTTAATGAACTGAAATGAAAATATCATTAAATTTCTATCAGTAATGAGTTCAAACATGAAATCTTGCAAACTTATATTAATTTGCTATGGGAGTAAAATTTACAGTGTTCGTGTACAGTTGTAATGAATAATACATATTGTAACCAATGTATTTTCATAGATTAATTAAATAATGATGGAATGTATTCATCACGGGGATGAACTACATATGGATCTCAAAATTGAGCGTTGGTAAAGAAATATGTAAATTTCCGCTGATCCAGATACACTTTAACCCCAAATTTGAAGGCTAGAGAAATGTCATTGATTAGGAAAGTGTGAACTTTTACAATATTTTCTATGAAAATCAAAGCTTTTTTGAAGAAAGTCAAAGCGTGATTCTACAGTCCTGACTTCAACTATATTGATCTTTTTTATGCCCGCCCCATTCGAAGAAGAGGGGGTATATTGTTTTGCTAATGTCGGTCGGTAGGTCTGTTGGTTTGTACGTCGGTAGACCTCATTGTTTCTTAAAAACTATTTATAGTCTTCATATTTCACATATTGATTGGTCATAATAAGTAGATGACCCCTGACTTTGGGGTCACTAGTTCAATGGTAAAGGTCACAGGGGCCTTAAATGTCAGAATGGTTCCACTCATTATCTTGGAAGCTATTCATCACAAAGTTTTCATGTCCCAAAGTGTTTTGGCATAACTATTAGATGACCCCTAATGATTTTGGGGCCTGTAATGTCAGAATGATTTCTGCTCATTATCTTGAAAGCTATTTATCACTAAGTCTTCATATTTCACATACTGATTGGTCATAACTAGTAGATGACCATATGTTTTGTTTGAAAGTATCAGAATAAAGATAATTTGTATATGTTTTGTTTGAAAATATTGTATAATTTGACACATTAACAATGAAAACAACAAAAAACAATTGGAAAGCAGGACTAATATGCCTGTGTAAAGTATTTATGATAAATATTTTATGTTACAATGATAATGGCGATAAATTCCCTATTGCTTTGCAGGTTACTGTTTAAACGTCAAGGTCACAGGGGCCTTGAATGTTAGTATGGTTTCCGCTGATTATCATGAAAGCTTTTTATCACAAAGTCCTTCATATTTCACATACTGATTGGTCATAACTAGTAGATGACCCCTATTGATTTTGGGGTCACAAGTTCAAAGGTCAAGATCACCAGAGTCTTTAATGTCAGAATGGTATTTGCTAATTATTTTGAAAATTATTTATCACAAAGTTTTCATATTTCACATATTGATTGGTCCTAACTAGTAAATGTCCCCTATTGACTTTTGGGTCACAAGTTCAAAGGTCAAGATCACCATAGTCTTTAATGTCAGAATGGTTTTTGCTAATTATCTTGAAAACAATTTATCACAAAATCTTTATATTTCTAATATTGATTGGTCCTAACTAGTAAATGTCCCCTATTGATATTGGTAAAACTGTGTCAAAGGTCAAGGTCACAGGTCCCTTAAATGTCAGAATGGTTTCCGCTCATTATCATGAAAATCAATTTATCACAAAGTCATATATTTCAGATATTGATTGGTCCTAAATAGTAGATGTCGCCTATTGATATCACTATTTCAAAGGTCAAGGTCACTGGGGCCTTAAATGGTAGTATGGTTTTCGCTCATTTTCTTGAAAGCTTTTATCACAAAGTTTTTATATTTCACATACTGATTGATCATAACTAGTAGATAACCCCTATTGATTTTGGGGTTACTAGTATAAAAGGTCAAGGTCACATGGGCCAAAAATGTCAGAATGGTTTCTGCTTATTATCTTGAAAAAAATTTATCACTTAGTCTTTATTAGATATTGATTGGTCCTTAATAGAAGATGTCTCCTATTGATATTGGGATCACTATGTCAAAGGTCAAGATCACAGGGGCCTTAAATGTCAGACAGGTTTCCGCTCATCATGAAAACTATTTATCACAAAGTCTTCATATTTCACATATTAATTGGTACTAAATAGTAGATGTCCCCTACTGATATTGGGATTACTATGCCAAAGGTCAAGGTCACCGGGGCCTTAAATGGTAGTATGGTTTCCGCTCATTATCTTGAAAGCTATTTGTTACAAAGTTTTCATATTTCACATACTGATTGTTTATAATTATTTGATGACCCCTTTAGATTATGGGGTTACTAGTTCAAAGGTCAAAGTCACATAGGTCTAAACTGTCAGAATGGTTTATGCTTATTACATGTATCTTGAAATTATTTATCACTAAATCTTCATATTTCACATACTGATTGGTACTAAATAGTAGATGTCCCTTATTGATATTGGGATTACTATGTCAAAGGTCAAGGTCACCGGGGCCTTAAATGGTAGTATGGTTTCCGCTCATTATCTTGAAAGCTATTTGTTACAAAGTTTTCATATTTCACATACTGATTGTTTATAATTATTTGATGACCCCTTTAGATTATGGGGTTACTAGTTCAAAGGTCAAAGTCACATAGGTCAAAACTGTCAGAATGGTTTCTGCTTATTACATGTATCTTGAAATTATTTATCACTAAATCTTCATATTTCACATACTGATTGGTCATAACTACTAGATGACCCCTATTGATTTTGGGCTAACTAGGTTAAAGTTCAAGGCCAGAGGTGCCTTAAATGTCAGAATGGTTACCGCTCATTATCTTGAAAACTATAATCACAAAGTCTTCATATTTCCCATATTGCTTGGTCCTAACTAGAAGATGTCTCCTATTGATATTGGAACTACTATGTCAAAGGTCAAGATCATAGGGGCCTTAAATGTAAGACAGGTTTCCGCTCAGTATCATGAAAACTATTAATCACAAAGTCTTCATAAATCACATATTAATTGGTCCAAGATAGTAGATGTCCCCTATTGATATTGGGATCACTATGTCAAAGGTCAACGTCACCGGGGCCTTAAATGGTAGTATAGTTTCCGCTCATTATCTTGAAAGCTAGTTTTTATCAAAGTTTTCATATTTCACATACTGATTGTTTATCATTATTAATTTGCTAATTACATGCATCTTGAAAAAATTTATCACTAAATCTTCATATTTCACATACTGGTTGGTTATAACTACAAGATGGCCCCTATTGATTTTGGGCTAACTAGGTTAAAGTTCAAGGCCAGAGGTGCCTTAAATGTCAGTCAAGGTCACATAGGCCAAAAATGTCAGAATGGATTTTGCTAATTACATGTATTTTCTTTGTTTGTTTGTTTTGGGTTTTACGTCACATCGACACAGTATAAGTAATATCGCGACGTTCCAGCTTTACTAGTGGAGGAAGACCTCAGGTGCCCTTTCGTGCATTATTTCAGCCACGAACGGGTACCTGAGTAGAACCACCGACGTACCGTAAGCTAGCTGGATAGCTTCCTCACATGAAAGAATCCAAAGTCCCTGTCGGGATTCGAACCCACAGAGGTGAGGGGCAAGTGGTTTGAAGTCAACGACCTGAACCACTCGGCCACGGACGCCCCTAATTACATGTATCTTGAAATAATTTATCACTAAATCTTCATATTTCACATACTGGTTGGTCATAACTACAAGATGACCCCTATTGATTTTGGGCTAACAAGGTTAAAGTTCAAGGCCAGAGGTGCCTTTAATGTCAGAATGGTTTCCGCTCATTATCTCGAAAACTATAAATCACAAATTCTTCATATTTCCCATATTGATTGGTCCTAACTAGAAGATGTCTCCTATTGATATTGGACCTACTATGTCAAAGGTCAAGGTCACAGGGGCCTTAACTGCCAGACAGGTTTCCGCTCATTATCATGAAAACTATTTTTCACAAAGTCTTCATATTTCACATATTGAATACCCATATGTAGTAGATGACTCCTTGATTTTGGGATTATTAGTTCAATGGTCAAGGTCACAGGGGCCTTAAATGTAAATATGGTTTCCGCTTAAACAAATTTTTTGGAAAATGTAAACGCAGAACGATGGTAAACATTCAAACAAACCCTTATTTTAACATTTATTGAGAGTTGGCTTCAAGGAAAGGATTTGGCGGTTAAAATTCAATTCGAGGTTCATATGTGCTGAAGGGGTGGCGTGCTTTGGATAAAACATTATCTACATAGTAACGAATCACTTACGTAAAACATTTGATATTTGATTTTTTTGTTGTGTATCATTCTTTAATTTAAACTAATATTTAAAAAAAAAAAGTTAAAAAAAAAAAAAAAAAAAAAAACAACATTTAGATCGATTTTCCTTAATTTCACTTGAAATATATCTATATTTTTCTTTAAGAAATTCGGTATATAAAGGTAATGATAACAGCTATTGTGGGAAGTCCATGTTGATTTATAACGTGCTACGTATGAGAGCTTGGATATTGTCACTTATGCCAACGTAGGGTTAAAACATATATTTCTTAGGAAGTTAAAACGCCTATTACATCAAAGGTACATGTATTCAGTTGAGGCATGAAAGGATTACATATAAACTAAGATTATGTCTGCTGATAAGAATGTCCATATACAAGGATATTATATGAAATATAAATAAAACTACATTCTGGTATTTTACTGACACTGCATTTGCCACTACATTGTACAAACTTGCTAAGTCAAGTTTTTTATAAAACTCTAAACGCATGTCATTAACCTCTTATGTCTTGGCGGTTTTATACGCCTTTTATCAATACGTTTGAGTGGTCTTAATTGTGTTATGGCACTGTCCATTTCAACGGACTTTAGAATCCGTTGAACATCTCTTAAACGAGAGTGCGCGCCGTTTTTATGCATTTCACTGCATGACAATCAATAAGAAAATATTTGTACATAAGAATGAAAATATATGACATACTCTTGGAGAATCTTGACGTGATGAACTTAATATATAAATGGATTTATACAAATTTTTGGAAAAAATAGCTTATAAGATTTGGTCACTTTTATTTGTCAATTGTTGAAAAAAATACAGCTTGGCCTGTCCATGTTATTTAACCTCCGTTAAAGTTGCGCCAAGCGCCACAATTTTTATGTATTCGGTATACGAGAGGTATGATCGAAAAATTCTCGGCCCGATATCACTACACTGGCATTTACACACGATACGTCGATACCGATATCTTATTAAAGATTACTGACCGACTTACACGCGGTTTTACACAGAATAAGTAACATAAAACACACATTGATCAGAAGAGGGGTGTGTCATTTAGAACAAATGGAGACAGTTGAAATCATAGCCGTCATTAAGTACTTCTGCAAGAAAGGGAAATCCATGAAAATTTCATGGATACTCTTTGGAAGGAGTCCCCTTCCTATAGCACTGTGAAAAAAAAAGGGCTGCTGAATTTAAGAGGGGCAGGGAGAGCATTGGAGATGATGAGCGACCTGTGTGGCCAAAAGAGGCCCTCAACGATGAAACTGCCGAAGCTGTTCACGATCTGGTCATGTGCGACAGAAGTCGAGACCTGCGAAGCATTGCTAGGGAAGTGGGTATAAGCTTTGGTTCAGTTCAGGCAATTCTGACTGATTTCTATGGCATGTCAGAGGTTTCCGTTAGATGGGTCCCCAGACAGTTGGCCAACGACCAGAAACGGATCAGGCTTGACATTTCAAGATATCTTTTGTCTCGCTACGAGGATGAACCTGATTTTATTTACCGGATCATAACTCAGGATGAAACATGGGTCCAGAATCAAAAAAAAAAAGAGCATGCAGTGGAAGCATCAATTAAGGATCACCCCCTCCGAAGAAATTCAAGAGGGTGCCATCAGCATCAGCAGGAAAGATGCTGGCTTCAATATTTAGGATAGTCAGGGGATAATCGTGATTGACTATCTTGAGCAAGGTCGTACCATAAACGGTACATACTACGCAGACGAATTGAGACGTCTGCGTCAAGAAATCCCGCGTAAAAGGAGGGGTGAACTGACTCAAGGCGTTCTACTCCTGCACGACAATGCGCCAGCTCACACATCCCAAGTTGCGATGGCTGCTGCAACTGGTTGCAACTTTGAAATTCTTCCCCATCTCCCATATTGTCATGACTTGGCTCCCCTCTGATTCCTACCTTTTTCCGAAACTGAAAAGCAAGCTTCGTGGTAGACGTTATGGAAGCAATGAAGGTGTCATGGAGGCGGTCAATGCGTTCTTTGAGGACCAAAATAGAGAGTTCTATTTTGAAGGGTTTAACAAGTTGGAGCACAGGTGGGCAAAGTGCATTGATGTAGAGGCCAATTATATTGAAAAGTAAGACCATTAGTTGGGCTCTCTGACTACCGGAAGTACATCGGGTCGAGAACTTTTTGATCAATCCTCGTATTTTTGGCACTTTCAATGCTACATTTGAAAGTAAACCTATTGTTGTAGTGACCTTAAATCATCAAACACAATATTTATTTAAACATGACTTCCACCTAAATCCAACGTACCTGTATTATTGGATGAGGCTGGCTATCTAATGTTTATATGATAGTGATCTGTAGCTTTGAAGATCCCCTATTGATCTCTTCAGCACATATGGAGCTTTTTGGTTTGAAATTTATAAGGGACGGTCAAAGCCAATACAAAAGTGTTGAAATACACCGGCTGTCATTTAATTACTAAACTATCTGAACAATATTAAAGCATTTTTCTTGAGATTTTTATTTGGGTTCAATGACAGTATAACATAATAATAATAATATTCGACTGACATGAATGTACTTTTAACGCTATTATTTTTTTGTTTTGTGTGTATGACTATTTAATTAAACATATATTTTAATACATGACAAAATTAAAGTCATCATTAACATTTATTATAACATAAAATCTTGCATGGACTATAATTTCATATTCAAGAACATGGTTTTGTCTAGATTGCTATGTTGAAAATGGCACATACTACTGTCAAACAGTAAAATTATTTACGTGTATATATGGAAATAAGAAAATTCACGGGACAAGCTAAGAACTGCTTGAGCTCGAGCCGAATTCAACTTACTATTATTGGTGTAACGTATTTCTTCTTCAGAACGGGAGTAACCATGTTTGACACTATAGTAGGACCATACCTTCTCCGTGCCGTATGTGAAAAGAGATTTCTGAATAACATTACAATGTGTGACAGCCTCGAGCAACTTCCGGTAATTGAAAACGAGGTCAGAAAAGAAGCGGGAATTTATTTCATAATCTATCGTTTATTTTTGAATGTTCCTGTCATTTGCTCCGGTTTATTTTTTGGAGCATGGAGTGATAAGAGAGGTCGAAAAATACCAATGTTAGTCCCGTGTGTTGGAATTATATTGTCAGCAATAATTTATATATGTAGTTTGTACACGGGTTCTGTAGCTGTATGGATTGCCCTTCTTGGAACTTTACCACAATCAATTTTCGGAAACACCGCTGTTGCTGCAATGTCTGTCAATTCGTATGTGGCAACAGTTTCGGATCGAAACCATAGGACAAAGTACATTTCTTTATTTGACGGGATAAGTGCTGTAGGACAAGCTTTCGGTGCCGTACTAGCGGGACTTCTTAAGTGGGAGTTGGTGATTTCTTTCAGTGTTGTTGCGGGTATACAGTGTTTGACAGCTCTATCAATAGCGGTGTTTGTACAAGAAATTGATTCTTCAATGAAGAATGAGTATATAGAACATATTGAACCAGAGACTGGCAACAGTAACTGCTCTAAGATTTTGAATTGTATAAAAACGTATACAGATTTGTTGAAAGAAAGTGGCACAAATTCGTTTCGGTCAATTGTCATGGCTTACTTGATCCTGACATTTATTTACGGCTGTGACACTAATGGCGTAGATGATGTATTTCTTATGTATGTAACAGCTCGACCGTTCAGCTGGACAAAGTCATGGTACTCGTATTACCTAGCTATCAGATATATTGCTTCCGGTTTCAGTCTTTTAGTGCTTTTACCATTCATTTTACATGTTTTTAAAATGTCCGACTCGACTGTCATAATTCTAGGATTACTCTGCAACGTATCTCGGTATTTTGGAGTTGGACTTAGTAACACGTCCTCGACAATTTATGCACTGTTGACCGTATGGACCACAGCATTGTTAGCCCGACCGTGCATATGGTCAATCTTAAGCAAAACTGTCAACGAACATGAGCTTGGTAAAATGTTTATTAATTTCGCCATTATTGACACGCTGTCAAAATGCATTGGCTCTGCTGTTTATGTCTATTTGTACAGTTCGACTGTTAATATATGCCCGGGTTTAGTTTTCTACGTAATGGGTGGCATAAATGTTCTTATTTTAGCTGCACGTATCTCGAGTGTTTTAAGAAAGATGAAAAACTTTCAATAACGAAGATTGTCACACAGTCTGGAGAATGCAGACGACCTGAAACGGATGTACCAGAACAAAATCAATGCAGCAACGAGCTGTCATCGACCGCGTTAAAAGAAAGTGAACTAATGCCAAAACACGTACAAAATGGACTATGCAGTGGTAATTCAAGTAAACAAGAGGGCCATGATGGCCCTGAGGTCGCTCACCTGTATATAGCCCCCCCCCCGGGCAAATTTTTACCCAAGGGCTTTTATTTGTTTATTTGAACAGACTTGGTAGAAGACACCCATAAGAAAATGTTTCATGCTAAACATCTAAGTTCAAGCTCATTGGGTTCTTTAAAAGAAGATTTTTTAAGTTTTTACTATACACATATAGTTAAAAACAATGACACCCCTAGGGCAGGGCCAGTTTTGACCCCCAGACTTTTATTTGAACAAACTTTGTAGATATTTACTTAAAGATGTTTCATGCTTAATATCTAAACTCTAGCTCTTATGGTTCTTTAAAAGAAGATTTTTTAAGTTTTTACTATATGCATATAGGGAAAATCAATGACCCCCGGGGCGGGGCCAATTTTGACCCCAGGGCTTTAATTTGAACAAACTTGGTAGACACTCACTAGAAAATGTTTCATGCTTAATATCTTAGCTCTAGCTCTTTGGGTTCTTTAAAAGAAGATTTTTTAAGTTTTTACTATATGCATAAAGGGAAAATCAATGACCCCCTGGGTCGGGGCCAATTTTGACCCCAGGGCTTTTATTTGAACAAACTTGGTAGACATTCACTAGAAGATGTTTCATGCCAAATATCTAAGCTCTAGCTCTTACGGTTCTTTAAAAGAAGAGTTTTTAAGTTTTTACTACATGCATATAGGGAAAATCAATGACCCCCAGGGGCAGGGCCAATTTTGACCCCAGGGCTTTTATTTGAACAAACTTGGTAGACACCTATTAGAACATGTTTCATGCTTAATATCTTAGCTCTAGCTCTTATGGTTCTTTAAAAGAAGATTTTTTAAGTTTTTACTATATGCATAAAGGGAAAATCAATGACCCCCGGGGCGGGGCCAATTTTGACCCCAGGGCTTTAATTTGAACAAACTTGGTAGACATTCATTAGAAGATGTTTCATGCCAAATATCTTAGCTCTAGCTCTTTGGGTTCTTTAAAAGAAGATTTTTTAAGTTTTTACTATATGCATATAGGGAAAATCAATGACCCCCAGGGGCGGGGCCAATTTTGACCCCAGGGCTTTTATTTGAACAAACTTGGTAGACACCTATTAGAACATGTTTCATGCTTAATATCTTAGCTCTAGCTCTTATGGTTCTTTAAAAGAAGATTTTTTAAGTTTTTACTATATGCATATAGGGAAAATCAATGACCCCCGGGGCGGGGCCAATTTTGACCCCAGGGCTTTAATTTGAACAAACTTGGTAGACATTCATTAGAAGATGTTTCATGCCAAATATCTTAGCTCTAGCTCTTTGGGTTCTTTAAAAGAAGATTTTTTAAGTTTTTACTATATGCATATAGGGAAAATCTATGACCCCCTGGGGCGGGGCCAATTTTGACCCCAGGGCTTTTATTTGAACAAACTTGGTAGACACTCATTAGAAGATGTTTCATGCCAAATATCTAAGCTCTAGCTCTTAGGGTTGTTTAAAAGAAGATATTTAAAGATTTTTCTTTCGGTTGCCATGGCAACCAGAGTTCTGCATGGAATTAAATTCTTTGAACAATTTTTAAAGGTGACCACCAAAGGAACATTCCTGTGAAGTTTGGATGAAATTGGCACAGCGGTTTATGAGGAGATGTCATTTAAAGCAAAAGTTTACGGACGGACGACGGACGGACGATGGACGGACGGACGGACGGACGCCGGACGAAAAGCGATCACAAAAGCTCACCCTGTCACTTTGTGACAGGTGAGCTAAAAAGTACCCAAATATAGTTCTACAGAGAAAGTCCATTTAAATGAAACATCAAGCTTTAGCAAACATAAATATTCCTCGAATTAGCCAAAATCTTGAAATATTACAAATGAAATATAATAATGTTCTGGGTATGTCATTATTTATTTCAATTCATGAATTAAATTATTTACATCTGTTTTGAAAAGTTTACACTTTTTCAATTTCTTTAACTGTTGTTTTTTTCGGGTCACATCGGCTATTTCCGTACTTTGCAAGATTTTATCTGTAATCAAACTTGTCCAAGAGATGTGTCCAAATACAAAGAGGCCACATTTGTTCAATCCCTAACATTTCTAAAATTATTCACATATATTATCAACACACAAATGTACTATATTGCTTTTAAAAACCAGTTCATGTTAACAAAATGAGCGTTTTTAAATGACAGAAATGTTCAATATTTTTTATGCTTTATCACTCCCAGTACGTTACAGGTGTAAAATAAGACAACAAACACAATGAGAAAGGAATAACAAGTATTTAATAGCACTTAGGATCCGATAATGTAACATACTTAAAAGCTAAAAAGTGATATGATATCTTCATGCAAACACAATAAATTGTATCTTATAAATGAAAAATATTATCAAATATTTATGAAAAAAAATTTCGTCTGGTAATATTTTATAATATAATGTCCCAATAAATATCATGTCACTGCATGGACACTGAATTAAAAGAGTAGATTAATCTTCTTTCAGATGATTTCTTAACGCTGAAAAACTGTTCTTGCAAACTGAAAACGAGACTGTACATAGATACGTTCCCTAAAAACAAGTTATACACTGGTGTTTACGAGCATATAAAGTTATACTGATTTCTATACATGCAATCAATATTAGAACGCCTGACTTGAGTTCTAGTATTCAAATTTTGATTACAGTGCAACCACAGCCGAGCGGCCCTCTATAGACCAGTAATCTCCGTAAACAAACAATCATACAATCAATCATAATATACTTCACAATATACTTTCACTCTCAAGAACACCAGAATATTTTTTTTCTCCCGAAAAGTTTTTGTTCTGAAGAGGTTATCAATTGGGAAATTGAAATAATTGATTTCACTACCCTTTATTGTGTTGATGACTGATTACTGCTTAATTAAGTTGGTACTAGGGGAACGGGCGATGTTGCATCTTTCATATATACATAATAATATCTCATGTACAGACTCAATAAAACAAAATCTGCAGTATTCACATTTTTACTTTGTTTTTTCAATGCTCTAGCTCTGGGATCTCCTCTATTTTCACACTGTTATACTGTATGAAAAAAAAACCTTTCAATTTTTTCTTTAGTCAAAAATATACAAGTTTAATAAAATTCTATACTCCTGATTTTATTTACAATACAAGACATGAAATATATGTATATATGATTAATTGAATATATATATCTGGTATAGATCACAAGTTCACTGTTATATCATGATAGTTAAGATTGTATATATATTCCTTCGTAATAAAACATGTATGTTGAATATAAAAACTACCTTATTCAACCTTTTTTTACCCAACAAAAAGCCGTTACTTGTCAAGAATATAGTTTTACAAATACAAAAATTAGCCAATAAAATATATTTTTATAAGAGAGACTATATTATCAAGATTACTGGAAATGAACAAAATAGGCATAAAATACATTTAGAAAGTTGATTACAAATTACCACACATTTTTTTCTGTGTTAGCTTATTTAAATTTGAATTAATGGTTATTGCATGACAATCATAATACCTGGTTAGAGGTTATATGTTGCATATTTTATCTATACCTCAGAAACTGCAAAAACAGCAAAATTACTGGATGTATGTTTGAAATACAAACAACATTTGTATTAATTTACAACTGATAGATTTTTGCATCATATAAATATTACAGTGTAATAATAATACCACGAAAACTTCTGGCTGACATAGTAAAGTAATTGCCATAATCTATAACTTAAATAGGAAAATATTTCCTAATTTTATAGAACTATCACAAAATGGCAGTATAGGGGACCTTGCTTATAATGACTAAAGATAACATACAAGTTAAATACCGGTGCCAATGACATCACATTGATTTAAGTAAAATCAATGAGTTTGGAATAGAATCATCATGTAAATTTACATTGTATATACACTATCACATAAACCACAGCGCAGGAGTGTAATAAAGCCATTTAATAAAAACGATATTAGATTAGTGTAATAACACTTTGACATGACGTCACTTGCATTATTTATAAAGATAACGTCAATGCAGCTAATGTTAGCATTACTCTATAGGCGAATCAATGAAAAAATTATTTTTTCAACAGTTTACCCTTCTTATTCTATATTTGTGATAAATAGAATATTATATTTGTGTAGATTCAATACCAAATTTATTGCACTAGTTTGAATAAAACAATATGATGCTCGCCAGAGGCTCGCATAATATGATTTTATTCAGCTTGTTCAATAATTTAGTATTGAACCTACACTCATTCAATATCCTCTAAGTATATCCAGTAACACAGGAATAAGAAATTAACACAAGAATCGTGCAAAAGTAAAAAACTGTGCAAACCAGGACCTATGTCTGAAACATGTAACATAGTAAGTAAATACTTTATAGAAAACCAAATTAAAGGTAATGAATAAGCGCATACAGCTGACATGACAGTCTACTTTTACCAGCAAGGAAAAATGTATAAATTCCTACGTCACTGGATATACACTGTGATAAAAGAAATGAAATTAATGACACTTAATAACAGTATAATGATAGCAGTATTACATGAACAACATAAACAATAACAAAATCAATAAAATAATGCAAACAGGTTTTTCTCAACAACCCAGAAAAATGACCATTGGTTTACAATATTCAAAAGATTTTTTCCTAAATATTTTTCATTCTTTATGAATCTTGAAAACATATCTTTTCAAACAATTACTACACAGGCTGTGACATGATTGAATTATGGAATTTAAATATATTTGGAAAATAATGCAAACATATACAAAACATTATAATCAACAGATATACAGTATGCGTATATAATGATAACTTTTATGATAGAAATAGCTACATATACTCATGCACCAGCCAATTTGAGTCAAAGTCCCCGCTATTCTCTAGGGGGTTGGGGAGCCAGGCTTACAGCTGACTAGTTTCATCATTTGACAAAAGCTAAATATAATAATGTTTGATCTAAAAAAATAATACAATACCATAATTCAGTACAGTCAAGGCATCTTAAAGTACAATCAGTTAAAAAAAGAAATTTTGGTAAGGAATTCTACTAATAAATATAAACACATTAACAAAAATATACTAACAAAAGAATAATAATATTTGATGCAAGTTGTAACTCAATGCATGCATAGAGAATAAATTAAACAAAATAATTTATACTTAAACATGAAAAAAAAAATCCGGTTTGAGAACACAAAATCCAAAGATACATGTACATACAACACTCTTTAAGTTTTAAATAACTTGTTGTTAATGAGTATTTATTTAATGAGATAATGGTAACATCATACAAAAAATTTCAAATACAATTTCTTATACATACATATTTATCAGCAATACACCCTGTTGCAAGAAAAATGTGCATGAATAAGGGGAAGCTTCATGCATCCACACATATTACCTAAAAATGCAGCAAAAGTCAAGATATTTTACAGATTATTTTTCAACATTGTGATGCCATGATTTGGTGATGCTATGAAAGTGAATGCATGGCTAATTATGGACAATTTTAACTAAAGAGAAAAAACTTGAATCCCTCAACCAATAAGAAGCAATTTGGATCTAATTTTAAACAAATTTACCAATAAGAAACAATTTGGATTTAATTTTAAACATTTTCAACCAATCAGAAACAACTTTAGTCTAGTCATAAACAAGTTGAATCTAATTATAGCTCATGTTATTATATATATCACAGTTTTCTAAGCACTTTGAAGCATGTCTTTTTTTATAAAATTTAGGAATCGACACCAGGAACAAGATCTGCTCTGTCACCAGACATGTCTGTCATCTCTCTATTCCTCTGAAATAAATGAAATAAATTATGTCAGTAATAAACTATGTTAAATGTTCTTGAACAAAATACATATGCAACAAGAAAGCAAATATTTAACAAACTTTCTAAGTCTTACAAATATCAAATAACATAAAGAAGAGGATGTCTTATGTTCAACAGGTATGTAAACACTGAGCAACCTTAAGCTCCCCATGTTCACAAAGATTTTAAGGATCAGGATCAAATTTAAAAACTCTAATATTCTTCATTGTTTATCCTCATAGATTAAATATCTAATATAAATTTGATAAAACTGGACTTGCAAAAGCAAGTTTATTAAATTTAAGAATAAATTTATTGTTATTTTTGCAAAATACGGGCATTTACAGTTGATCCAAATATTGATCCTGATCCTAAAATTGATCCTTATTTTGATACGAATATTTTTGTATTTGTTTTGTTATTTGTTGATTTATCCCAAAATAGTTTGGTTTCTTTGCAAATCAGCAATTTTTCACATTTTGAATATTTACCATTTAATTCTAGAAAAACACTATTAATTTTAGTAGCATAAAACAATGAAAATAAAATCAGGATCACTTGATATTACATACCATGTAGGTGCCAAATTTTAGAAACTTCAAGAAAAAAGTTGCAACAAATCTTATTATAAAGTATCATTTATGTCAATAAATTGTATAACAAGAGCTGTCAGTAGGACAATACCCTGGTGTATACTCAGTGCTCTGATAGTTAAATAATAGCCAGGATAATGTAGGAATTGACAAGTGAAAGATTCCATTGGCCTTTGATAGTGACCTCCTATTATGATCTCATATAAGTGTTTTAAATTACAAGCAAATATCTAAGTTGTTCATGAAAAATTATCTTGTATACAAGAATTTGCACACAAAAATTTTATCAAGGTCTGTAGTATTCCCTATAGTACAAAATAATTCTTTTTATGTTTTCCCATAAAACTGACAATTGGTTTCATCCAGATTTAAAGAAGGAGAAGTTCATTTTCATATTCAAAATTATTTAGCAAGGTAACAGTTAAACAAGAGGGCTATGATGGCCCTGAGGTCGCTCACCTGTATATAGCCCCCCCCCCCCCCGGCCCAATTTTTACCCAAGGGCTTTTATTTGTTTATTTGAACAGACTTGGTAGACACCCATAAGAAGATGTTTCATGCAAAACATCTAAGTTCTAGCTCATTGGGTTTTTTAAAAGAAGATTTTTTAAGTTTTTACTATACACATAGAGTAAAAAACAATGACACCCCTCGGGCAGGGCCAGTTTTGACCCCTGGGCTTTTATTTGAACAAACTTTGTAGATATTTACTTAAAGATGTTTCATGCTTAATATCTAAACTCTAGCTATTTGGGTTTTTTCAAAGAAGATTTTTAAGTTTTTGCTATACACATATAAGGAAAATCAATGACCCCCGGGGCGGGGCAAGTTTTGACCCCAGGGCTTTTATTTGAACATACTTGGTAGACACCCATTAGAACATGTCTCATGCTAAATATCTTAGCTCTAGCTCTTTGGGTTCTTTAAAAGAAGATTTTTTAAGTTTTTACTATATGCATATAGGGAAAATCAATGACCCCCTGGGGCGGGGCCAATTTTGACCCCAGGGCTTTTATTTGAACAAACTTGGTAGACATTTACTAGAAGATGTTTTATGCCAAATATCTAAGCTCTAGCTCTTACGGTTCTTTAAAAGAAGATTTTTTAAGTTTAAACTATATGCATATAGGGAAAATCAATTACCCCCCAGGGCGGGGCCAATTTTGACCCCAGGGCTTTTATTTGAACAAACTTGGTAGACATTTACTAGAAGATGTTTTATGCCAAATATCTAAGCTCTAGCTCTTACGGTTCTTTAAAAGAAGATTTTTTAAGTTTTTACTATATGCATATAGGGAAAATCAATTACCCCCCAGGGCGGGGCCAATTTTGACCCCAGGGCTTTTATTTGAACAAACTTGGTAGACATTCACTAGAAGATGTTTCATGCCAAATATCTAAGCTCTAGCTCTTTGGGTTCTTTAAAAGAAGATTTTTTAAGTTTTTACTTTATGCATATAGGGAAAATCAATGACCCCCTGGGCGGGGCCAATTTTGACCCCAGGGCTTTTATTTGAACAAACTTGGTAGACATTCACTAGAAGATGTTTTCATGCCAAATATCTAAGCTCTAGCTCTTACAGTTCTTTAAAGGAAGATTTTTTAAGTGTTTACTATATGCATATAGGGAAAATCAATGACCCCCGGGCGGGGCCAATTTTGACCCCAGGGCTTTTATTTGAACAAACTTGGTAGACACTCACTAGAAGATGTTTCCATGCCAAAAATCTTAGCTCTAGCTCTTACAGTTCTTTAAAAGAAGATCTTTTAAGTTTTTACTATATGCATATAGGGAAAATCAATGACCCCCCGGGGGCGGGGCCAATTTTGACCCCAGGGCTTTTATTTGAACAAACTTGGTAGACACTCATTAGAAGATGTTTCATGCCAAATATCTAAGCTCTAGCTCTTAGGGTTGTTTAAAAGAAGATATTTAAAGATTTTTCTTTCGGTTGCCATGGCAACCAGAGTTCTGCATGGAATTAAATTCTTTGAACAATTTTTAAAGGTGACCACCAAAGGAACATTCCTGTGAAGTTTGGATGAAATTGGCTCAGTGGTTTATGAGGAGATGTCATTTAAAGCAAAAGTTTACGGACGGACGACGGACGGACGGACGGACGGACGCCGGACGAAAAGCGATCACAAAAGCTCACCCTGTCACTTTGTGACAGGTGAGCTAAAAACACATAACAATAAATGATAAATCATCTAAATCATTGTAAGCAAAACAAAAGTATTAAATATGAGCATGTATAAGAATTCTTCTGACATTTTTTTTTCTATGTTAAAGGCTAAATTAAATAATGTTAATTTGGTGTACACAGAAAGATATGAAATATATTAGAATAAATGTACACTCCAAACAACCAGGGGTAGTTTACTATCACTATGATATAGATTAAATATCAATTAGACAATGTTTCTAATATTAGACAATATGGTGGGAGAAGGATTTTAAATTAGAGCTGCAAAGTCAGAAAATGTGCTAAAAAATCTCAGTGCTTGATAGTCACATAATAGCCTGGAAAATATTTCAAGATTCAGTTATTGGCCTTGTACACTGATCTACAGTTATGATCTGCATTTAAGATGTCAGAAAATACCCTACATGATAAATGACTTATACAACTGCATGTAAACCATAACAAAGTGTTTTGCCTACATCAATACTGACAAAGTACCAATGCTAAGGTGAGTAAAATAGCCAAACTTTTATTTAAATGCTTGTTCAACAAATAAATCTATAAATCTTTTAAATGATATAAAAGTTAGATCACTTTCTCAATATAATATAATTTTTTTTCTTTTCTCCATAAAACACAAGTCAAAGTTGAAAAATTACAAAATATGACCTTAGAAAAAATGTTATTAGAAGACTGTCACTGCAAAGTATGAGTTACAAATGTGTTTCTAAACCTACTTAGTTTACATGTCTACCTTAGAAAAGTTACATACTGTCCATTTCATTCATCAATGGTCCATAATTTCTCTGATAATTAAAACAAGATCTTTATTATAATTCAGTACTTTAATATTATATAACGGCATAAATACAATATCTTTCTTGGTCATAATGTTTATGTTCTTTTATATCTAATACCGACATTAAATTAGGCCCTCTTGGTATAGCAGGAAAGTGAATGGTCTTTTCTTTTATTATTTTTAACTTTATAAACTGTATGAAAATGCATAATGTTTTGACAAAAAGGCAGTTGTCAGTCTTGGAATGAAAACAATGATAATGACTTCTGTATGCTACCGGTACAGAGTGAGGCTCTCCTGTACTCCCATCCCCCCTCCCTTCCCCCACACCTCTTAAGGATCTATACTATTGGTTTCTAATATTAGAATTTTTATATTAAAATCCCATACATAATACAGTTCCAAATTCAAAACAGAACTAGTCTAGGACACAATTTAGCAGGGTATGGGTTTTCTTGCGTTTTTTGGGGCTTTTTTTGTTGGATTTCAAGTCAAACCAACACTGTTAAGGTCATACGGTAACTTCTCAGCTTCCCTGATGGAAGAAGACCTCAGGTGATCCTTTGTGCATTATTTCAGGTACCCCAAGTAGAACCACCAACCTTTTGTAAGCTAGACAGATAGCTTCCTTACACAAAAGAATCTAAAGTCTCTGATGGGATTCAAACCAACTGTAGTGAGGGACAATTGATTTAAAGTTTGTGACCTTGACCACTTTGCCAAGGAAGCCTAAGGTAAGGGGTAATATTATAGACTTTTACATAAGTCAAGAACAAACAGACATGCATCTTCAATGCATAAGTGGAAGTTTTCTAAGGCATTATATAATAACAACTAATTCCCCATGCAAGACTGATTACAGGAATGATGAAAAACACATTAACACATTCTTGAAAAACAATAAATGAAAATATTACAAGACATTGAAACAATGAAGACTATAAGGTCCATGCAATAATCTGAGAATAAAAAGTGTAGCAATTTTACTATAAAAGAGAACTTAAGTGTGTATAGCAATGCTCTCTAGCCTAACTTAAAGGTGTATTAATTACAGTGTAAGATAATTTAAATGCTTTATTGTATTGCAATTTATTGTTTGTAGTAACTTAAATTGTTTGTAGTAACTTAAATGCATGTTAAAGTTTACTGTTTAACACATTAATACTTACATCACCAAATATCTTCTTCCAAGCAATGATGGAAATAGCCACTAAAATAAGCAGTGAACCAAGGCCAATTGCTACATATGTACCGATATGCATGGCCATAAGTGGCGTGGCCAACTGAGATTTGAACTCATCAGCCAAGGAATCTGTAATTCTAGAGCTCTGAAATAGAAGAAAATAGATACTGTCATTTTTCCAGCTCAAACAAAAAGTGTTCCTAACGTGAAAATTAATTTCCCCATTGCTTATCTGTTGATTTAAAAAAAAGTTATAGTGAAACTAAATAAGTGTGAACATTTGACCTTAGAGGTCAAGGTCATTTAGGGGTTAAGGTCATAATTCAATGTCTAAATGAAGCTTCTCTCTTTTTTTTGTACACAATGATGTCAACAGAAAAACTGGTAGAAAAGTCAAATACTACATCTTTTTTTGTTTGTTTATTTTTTCCTAAAAAAACTCCCTTTCATATGAAGATAATATGAAAAGTCTGATACAATGTTGATAACATACATATCTATCTAAAAACTAAGAACTAAATAACATACTTCATTCAGCCAGAGCACTGGAAGCACTGTTCTTTTCAAAAGATCTGTCTGCCTGAAAGACATTAAAGAAAAAAAAAATGGTAAAAAATTTTCTTTTACACATTAGAGAAACAAAGATATCAGTGTCACTTTAATTATAGTACAAACATGCAAATAATGAACAATATTCTTTTGTGTTCAAATGAACAATAAGAAACATAGCATTGCCATGAAAGTAGGTTTTCAATTAGGAAACAATTTTTACTAAAATTGACCTTGATCCTAGTGAGCCCAAAAGTAAGCACTTATCATAAGCTTACTATATACAAAAAGTACCAGGGTTGACTACAATTTCTTTTTCAGATTCGAGTTATCGTCAGGAAACCACCTGTCTGAAGCCCATCCCAACATGGACCATTTGCCATTCAAATAACCAGGTTTTACAAAATTGAAAACCTAGTTAATTAATCAATAGAAAATTATCAATTAATTATCATAGAAAAATAACTGGCACAAATAAACAAGAATTTTAAAGTGTAGATAACTTACTTTATATGATCAACTTCCTCCAACAGTATGTTAATTTGTAATTTCTTAGCAGCATAAAAAGCCAAGCCCTGTGTTTTACTGAAACAGGAAAAAAAACATATTTTGTACATATTTTTTTCTAGCCTTGTTTTAGACAGAGACATTAAAACATGTATATTAGTCTCTGTTTAGGTTACAAATATCTTTATGGTTCCTTGCATGTCTATGAATGTTTTGTAAACATGTATCTATAGGTTTAAACTATTATTCAGTACTCCATATATGACTCAACATCATCATGTACAACACTCAGATCACTGCTGATTGATAGAATTACCTCCTCTTGTCTACACAGGATGGAGGCATGATGGTGAACAAGTGTGCAAAGTTTCAAAGTCATATGTCAATGGACTTTGAAAATATTTGAGGTTGTATACAAACTTTAACATAAGTGGTTATGCTGACGCGACCATCAACGCTCAGGTGACTAAGATAGCTCTACCTATTCTTATCGAATAATGAAGCTTAAAAGCATATTTGAGAAGAAAAATCCCCTTTAAAAAAAAAGCTGTTACAAAATACTAGATAATGAACCTGGAATACCAAATTTTCGCAGTGGACCATTCTAAGTTCAAAAGAAACAAGTCCATTACACTGATTTGGTGTAGAAATGTTAAAGATACAAGAAAATAAGAATGATTTCTTACTGGTTCAACATCAATAAATGTACCATGTTCCTCCAGATTAGGGTGCATTCCATTCACACCATGTATAATAGCAGGATCAGCATTCAGGAAATGGGGCTGTGAGAAAATGAGTGGAGCACCTGAAATAATTACAAAATCACAACAATAAGTGATACTCATATACAGAAGCCAGGACTATGAAGGATAGCCCCACTTTTATTTGAAAAGAGCCAGAAAAGAGCTGTTCATTAGACAGCACTATGCACAACTCCCTTACCTATAATCAGTGCTCGACAGAAAGAAAAGGGGCATAACTCTGTAAAAAATTAACTCATAGTTATCTGTCCTGTGTCTATCATGTAAGATAATCAAATGGAGCAAATGAGTGAAGTTTCAGATGCATGCAAAATCTTAACTAAAATGTGATGCAGACGCCAGGGTCAGTACAATAGCTTTCCCTATTCATTGAATATTCAGGCTAAAAAAATCACACAATTTCAATATTTAAAATAAACAAGAGGGCCATGATGGCCCTTTATCGCTCACCTGAATATGACTGGGTTTTTTAAGGTTTTTCTATTTATAGCTCCTGTGACCTAGTTTTTCATCAGAGATGACCCATGTTCGAACTCATCCGAGCATTTAACTAGACAAGCACCCTGACAAAGTTTGATAATGATTGGGTCATAAATGTGACCACTAGAGTGTTTACAAGGTTTTTCTATTTTTAGCTCCTGTGACCTAGTTTTCCATCCGAGATAAATCATGTTCAAACTTATCCAAGCATTGACTAGAAAAGCATTCTGACAAAGTTTGGGATGATGATTGGGTCAAAAATGTGACCACTAGACTGTTCGCAAGGTTTTTTCTATTTTTAGCTCCTGTGACCTAGTTTTCCAACCCGAGCATTGACCCATGTTCGAACTCATCCAAACAATTGACTAAACAAGCATCCTGACAAGGTTTCTTAATAATTGGGTAAAAAATGTGACCACTAGAGTGTTCACAAGGTTTTTCTATTTATAAGCTCCTGTGACCTAGTTTTCATCGGAAGATAAAACCATGTGCAAAACTCATCAAAGCAATTATCTTAACAAGCATCGACAAAGTTTTGCATCATGATTAGGTAAAAAATGTTTTTTCATCAGAGATGACCATAAATCAAACTCATCTGAGCAATTGACTAACAAGCATCCACACTAAGTTTTTGATGATTGGGTAAAAAATGTGACCACTAGAGTGTTCACAAGGTTCTATTTATAGCTCCTGTGACCTAGTTTTTCATCAAGATGACCCGGTATTCGAACTCATTCTGCCGCAATTATCTAAACAAGCATCCTGACAAAGTTGATGATGTTTGGGTCAAAAATGCTGACCACTAGAGTGTTCACAAGGTTTTTTTTTCTATTTTTTAGCTCCTGTGACCTAGTTTTTCATCAGAGATGACCCATGTTCGAACTCATCCAAGCAATTGACTAGACAAGCATTCTTGACCAAGTTTGATGATGATTGGTTCAAAAATGTGACCACTAGTGTTCACAAGGTTTTTCTATTTATAGCTCCTGTGACCTAGATTTTCATCGGAGATTACCCATGTTCGAACTCATCAAGCAATAATCTAAACAAGCATTTTGACTATAAAGGTTGATGAGATTGGGTCAAAAATGTGACCACTAGAGTGTTCACAAGTTTTTCTATTTTTTAGCTCCTTTGACCTAGTTTTCCATCCGAAATGACCCAGTTTCGAACTCATCCGAGCAATTGACTAAACAAGCATCCTGACAAAGTTTGATGATGATTGAGTAATAAGTGTGACCACTAGTGTGTTCACAAGCAATTGTGGACGGACGACGGACATTCACCGATCCTAATAGCTCACCCTGAGCAAGCTCAGGTGAGCTAAAAATTATAGGAGCTATATGAACTCTACAATTATCTGCAGACATGGGGTAATCGTAATCGGTAATTTAATTTAATTTAATCGATTACAATATTTTGAGTAATCACAGTAATCAGTAATCATAATTTTTTTCCTGTAATTTAATCATAATTTAATCAATTACATGACCAATTAATCAGTAATCACAATGATTACATGTATGATTACAATACATGTTAAGCTAAAAAAATTTCTGAACAAACATACATAATTATAAAGGTTAAAAAAGTACCAGTGTCAATGCCTACTAATTGTCTTAGGTAGTGTAGGTGAATTAAATGCAGTCACCCAGGTCAGATTTGATGACACCTGTGTTTTAATAAGGTGATGAAATGATCACTGACAGATTGACCAAATACATAAATGATTGTCACAATTATACCACTTAAATTTAACTGACAAAAGTGAGATATGAGACTGAATTAATTACTGTAAAACTAAGCTGGATTATTTTTTTGGACATTTGTTGTACTGAAATGTTCAATGAAACGATAGTGTTGAACCATTGCAATAATTTTCTTAACTTATGTACATGTATTCATAAATGTAATCTGATTACTCCTGTCAGTAATCAGTAATTTAATCAATTACAATGTCAAAATAGAGTAATCAGTAATTTAATTTAATCAAGCATTTTGACAAATAATCATAATTTAATCGATTACAATTATCAAGTAATCGCCCCATGTCTGATTATCTGACACAAATATCTTATAGAAATAATTAATCTTATACAAGAGTCAATTTTATCTACCAAAATGACAGTTTTCCACATTCAAAAGTCCTGATGGAAAGCAGTTATCACTGGGAGTGCAGTATCCTTGGTTAGCTGGATTGTCAGTAGGAGATTGAAATACATCAGGTGGGGTAGTAAATCTGTATACATCTATACCCTTCTGCTTGTTGTCACGCAGGTATGTGAAATATATAGACCTGAAACATATGTCATTTATGTCTGATTTTATTTCTTTAAGGCAATAGTTTTAACATCTTAAAGCAAATAAAAAACAAATCCATTGAAAATATCTGCCAAGAAAAATGAATAAGAACTTTTAATTTTGGGTACAACTTAGATATCTATTTATCTCCATGACAACAATTAAAAAAAGATTCTTCACTGAGACGAACATGAATTAAAAACATTATCACTTATTCAGTAAATATTTATATAAAATATAACTATTGCACATCCTTTACATTAACTATGCTTGATAGAGCTAAAAGTTTCACAACAAATACAAATTTTAAATGCAATACATATACATGTATTTGCATTTTTCTATTTTCTCTGAAATTAATAAATTGCTCTTTCTTTTTTTCACAATATGTGACCATTTTTGTTTAGTTTTGAAATCACTGCCCTCTTTCCACAATGAACAAACTAATTCCTGAAAAAAAACTATGTAAGTTTGAAGCCATAATCAGGGTCTTTCAAATAGAATGGTCTGGAGACAGACCGATTTTACGAAAAATGCTGTCTCGGTTGAATCACGTGATTGGGTTATCTACCGACATTGATATGGCATTAAAAAATCAAATTATAAGAAAATGTTTTGTTAAATCAATTAAAAAATTACAAAAAACTAATTCTGATTACATTATAATATCAGTTTTTACTTTAAAAGTTACAATTTTATAGATTTGCAATGAAATTAGAAATTTTTCGTTCCCGGTGTCAAGGTAAAAATTTACTGCTCATATTTGAAAATAGGTCCGAGTTTCATGAGCTTTTTTAACATACATGCTTTGTTCAATGACAAAATAGAAATTGATTTTACAGAGAAAAGATGTTATTTAATCGTATCATGTAAAAATATTATAATATTTCACGATGTTATTTGCAAATATTTGATGTTTAATTTGATGCATTTTCCAAATGGCACCGATTATCGGCAAATATTCTGAACAAACAATTTATGTTTTTTAACAAAGATGGCTTTAAAAAACATCATTTCTTGATATATTTATCCTTTTTTCAAAAGCTTAAACATTTTTAAATAACATCATGTCGTTAAAATTTTCATTTTTGCTCTTGTATTTAATATTCGCCCTTTCCTTGAACACTTACATAGTTTGCCTATAGCAAACTATAGCGATTTATACCGAGACATGTTTAATTTTAGAGAGAAGGGTTTACATAGCGTGTTTCCAGACCATTCTGTTTGAAAGACCCTGCCATAATGTAACATAACAGTTTACCTGCATAAATCAGATGAGAACACATATAATACATCCGACTTTTCCATAAACGGGTGGAAAATTGTACCATCTGAAATAATTCATTATTCTACAGTAATTATCAGACATATTTAAAGGGAATAATATCACAACATTACCGTTCATGATGCAATAATAACTATTTTAATTTATTAATCTTTGAAAGACATTAAAAGTGACTGTGTTGTTCCAATTAAAAAGTTAATAACTACAGTTTCATGCACAAAATCATAATGATGCACCTATTTACTATAATAGGTAGTAAACATTTAATCTATACTCAAATGGAATGTGGAACTTTTGTCTGCATGATTCCTGAAATAACCAAATACTGGTCCTTTTGTGGTTGTAAAACTTGAACCTATGATCCCTGGGCACACAGGTAAACAATATACCTATGATCCCTGAGCACACAGATTAACATTGAAGACAAGACAGCTCTCCTTATAATATATTATTGATATTACCTGAACTACTTTATTAATTTTAAAAAGTATACCTACCTGTGCCATTCAACATGTTACAAGTGTGAGATGTCCAGAATGTAAGGTTCCTGTAATATACATAAGGTGCAATTTAAATGTACATTTATATCAAAATAACACATAGATCATGAATTAGCACTGAAACTATGTTTTTTCTTTCTTTTATAAACATGTATAAAAGTACAATCTTTATTGTTAGAATAAATATTCGTAGCATATCATATCCTTTTATGTGTATTGTGCAAATATCCAAACAGAATCTCCATAAAACAAAATGGCCAAAGGTGAAACTGAGTCACAGCAAAATATACCAGTATCATTGTAACCCCCTACAGGACTTTAAAAATAATACAACAATCTACAAATGTAGTTTGTAGCAGGCTAGCCTGTGGCTAGTGGAATTTGGGTAGGGCCTGGAAATAATGACAAGACCTAACACACTGTGAAATATATTAAAGCAGCCTATTTCCTTAGTATCTGAAAATAACTGAATTTCAAATGTAGCAGTTAATTTATTCTTGTACAAAGAGTTTTCAATTATACTGGTGGATAAAAGTTGAGGATGTGCCAATCTTTCTATGCAATTAAGGCATAACTAATCATCAATTGGTAAAGATTAAGTAATGTTGACATTTAAACTGCTAGAGTTTTGTCATCAACATATACCAAAGGAATACATAAAATCATTTATCAAACAAGTTTAGAATTGTCTTAGTGTTTTTTTTCTTTATATAACTACTACCCTAAAACGGTACCATTCCCAATAGAAAATAGACATTAAAATTCCCAATTTCCAATGTTAAATTCCCAAAATGGCTGTTCAAAATGCCTACAAGGCAAAGTGATTTTTCTAAAATCATTTAAATCCAACATATTCATATAAATCACCACTCAATAGTTCTATCTAGACAGTAGAAGCTGTTAGCTATCTTTATTCATGATGTCTAATCTCATTTGTAGCTGAAAAAATGCATTAAAAAAAATTCCCAATTTTAGTCAAAATAACGCATTTTTTCCCAATCAGTCTGGTACAGCACCATTCCCAAAGTAGAGAAAAAAAAACGCTGTCTTACTATGTATTTTTATTTTGTTTTATTTCATTATGTATTTTTCAGTCATTTAACTGACAAATTGTTATAAATTTAGTTATCACCCTTTAATACAACTTTATGAAAACTGTTTATACAAGGTGTGAGTCATATCAAAGAAATACATAAAACAATTAATCAGACAAGTTTAAAATTTCCTTATCATGTATTTTCCGCTCATTTAAACTGACAAATCATTCTAAATTTAGTTATTATCTTTCAAATGCAACAAATGAAAACAGTTAATGCAAGTGGTGATTCATAAAAAATGATACAGAGATAAAGAATATATACAAAATAACATAATATAATAGGTACTTAATGCAATAACTAATAAAAGTAAGTAGATGACTTAATAGATGAGAAATAAATACATGTAAATGAATTAATATTAAAGGAACTCCACTGAAGTCTCAAAGTCTAAAAACATAAAATTTGATTTTCTTACATTGATCGATTGGGGCACTTAAAACATAACAATTTGCAAAAGATTATTAAGAAATATACCCGGAAATATATTGAAAATTGTATTTTTGGGTTATTCTTAGTTTGATTACAGTGAAAAGCAAGGCAGGTCATTTTTCACAAATAGAATATTATTCTGGAAAAACAGAGTGACCAAATGATCTGAAATTTTTGCACACAGGTTATTGGTTAGTCCTACATCACAGGGAGCATAAATCTCAAAATAAATTTATTCCAGTCCAGTCATGTTAAAAAAACCTCAGTGGAAGTCCCTTTAAATAAATTTTCTCAATTAGAAAAAAACAACAACTGTGTATGTTATAATAATATTTACATTCAATCTGATTCACCTTATAGCTAGGGCATTAGACAAAGAAGA